TTTCAGGCATCAAGTTGAATTTCTTCTGGAGATGATTAACCCAAACCCATGACAGATTTTTTCCAAGATATCCAACTCCTTATGTTTATTTTATCCTGGCTCTTTTTGGATGTACTGGACACAAGTAACCTACTCATTTTACATGTTAAAGGGCTGGTGGAGAGCCATTAATTCCTTAAAATGAGAAAATATTTCAGTGCAAGAGTTCTGTTGTGTGAGCTCAAACTAAATAATAAGAAACAAAGCCACAGAATTCTGATTTTAAAAGATAGATCCCCTTCCACACTACAGGTTTCTGTATTGCATTTTCATCACATTTCAGGACAGATCTCACATTCTCTGGAAATGCATTATTCTGTCATTTTTGTCAGTCCTATATGGTTTAGAAATTGCTTCCCTAACCTGGCATAGGAATTTAAAGTCTGGGAGATGTGTAATAATTGCATTTTACTGTAAACATGGCAGTTCAGCTAATAGAACTGCAGCAAGGTCAGCTTTAGAATGTGTTTATTAATCCTTTTCAGACCACAGCTCAATAAAAGATGGCTTAATTTAGAAATAGTTGTTTACAAACAATGCATTTCCTGGGAGTTGATGCCATTTATATTTTTCTGTTAAAAATAGCTAATTTCTAAAAGATGAAAATAGATGTCACAAACTATTAGCTACAGTTCAATGTCTTTTTAAATGCTCTTAAGTAACAAACTACAAAATATTTAAAGCACAGAAGATATTAGCATTCCACTCATCGTACCTTCTCTTAACTCTCATGCAGATATTTAAAACCATTAGTGATGTGAATCAATATAAATTTTATTTCATTACCCCACATACTTTTTCTTCAATGTATTTACGTTTCATAATACAGAAAATCTAAGAAACTACGTAACATTATTTTAATGAATTCACATTATTAACTCCAAGTTAACCTTAATTACTGATTTCCAAAGTCTCAAGTTCACATTTTTAATTAGCACTCATAATAATAATCTATAAGAATGTTTTGCAACATTTTTCACTTGAGATTACAAGGAATATCAGAACTATCTGAAAGCTGGAAAACAGACGACTTCAAAATGGATCTTTGATATTTATCTTCCAATCATATGACATAATCACAAGATCATTTTACCTCTTATTCTTGTTCCAATATGAAAAATAAATGTTATTTCTACTGACAATTTAAAGAGAAATTAATAAATATTTCCATAATTAAAAGCCACCTGAGAAAGCATAATCTGTACATTATCAAATTTGTATTGGTGAAATCTGTCTTAACATTATACCTATTACATTTTCTTCAGTCACTAGTGAGCATAAAATGACAGGACAGACAGTCTTGCCAACTAGGATTACAGGTTCCCAAGCCACAGTAAACATATCTCGACAATCCAATGCATTTTTAATATAGTTACATTTCTTGGCATTAGTCAGTGTACATATTCCTTGGTGAAGTCAAGTTGTATTGTTTCCATTTCTTTGAAGTGTATGGTAAAGATGTGCCTCTGATGGATATGGATATGACTAAAAAAAAATTTACTATATGTGACAATAAATCACCTATGTACATGATTAATTAGATCATTGTGTATGAATTTCTGAGAAACTAAGTGAATTTTATCCAAATAATACTTGGATAGTTTGACTGGACTTTCAGCTGACCTACCACATTCTTTCAACTTGCTCTGCAGATTGGAATCCAGCTTTCCATTCCACTGAACAGAAATTATTTGGATAACACACCACAAATGTTGAGGCAGATGGATTAAAGAGGACCCCAAAAAGTATATACTATTCCCAAAGCCTGTAGCTAAACAATGTGCTAGGCCTCAGGGCTCCTTTTTTATGGTTTTGAGCTGCTGTATTGGGAGAAAGCACTCACATTATTGGTTGGAAAAGTAGGTATCCTTCCTCCATGTAGACGAAATTACACCCTGCAATCATAGACCCAACAGCTGGCAGAGATGGTCTGCTACACATTCAGCCAGGACTAACTGGAACTCCCCAATAAAAGAGAAGTCAAGGATAGATTCTTCCTTCGGTTCCTGATCTACTTTATCCAAACCAGTCAAGATTATTTTACATTTAATTAACTGAAGTAGGCCCCAGACAACAAGAGGAGAAGCAGTCACAAAGCTTTCTAAAACTATGCTTTGCTGCAAAATAGAAAATAATGAAAATTATCTGTTTTCCTTATAACATTTCCACACATACACATTTGTACACACATACATTGACACTAACACACATGTGATTACATTCTCATGGTTTATATCTTCACATGTTGCTTGATGTTGCTTGTAATTTTAGATAGAAAGTTCTTGTCTGTTGGAACAACATTTCCTCACACTGTTGAGGAAGCATGCTAATACAAAGGAGTTTGACTAACTTCTGTGTGCTGTTGTAATAAAAATGTGAAATAATGGTCCCTTGTGGGGATTTTTCTAACATCAGTGAGTAAAGCATGAAGACTCTTCTAAAATTTAATATGTATATGTCAGGTCAGAGATATAGGAATATCCTATGGGACTGAAGTTGTGCAGAGGTTTTCAAAATCAGATATCAATATTTTGGTGAGCACAACTTCTGTAACAGGAAAATAATTGTATATCGCATAAACCCTATGTCCTTGCTGTGTTTACATATTCCATTACAGCTGCTGCATGACACAACACTGTCAGTATGATGTAGTACCTTAGATGAGATGGCAAATTATGACAGCATATAAACTTTATCTCAGAAATACACGGGCATTGGATATTAAGCTCATTCCTTTCCAGTCTTTATTTGTATATCTCTTATATTTTAATTCCTTTTTGTCATATTTGTATTTTTAAATGCAAACTAAAGGCACAATTAAGACGAAAGACATTCATCATACATCTAAACTAGATTACCTCTTAAATATTCATTACCATGATGTGTTCCTGTTTGAAAATATAAAACTGTTCTAATTGTTTCACTTCCGAGGGCATCTCCTTTCAAAAGTAGTGATTCTGTTATTTAACAGATAACACGTGTACTTGCTGTCAATGCTACAGTTTCTCCCCCCATTTCCCAGATTAAAGAAATAAAGCAGGGATATTCAGCATGTGCATTTTTTCCCCCAGATTTATGCAGTGGTTTATGAAGGAGATGGAGTTAAAATTTTCTACCAGAGCACTGACTACCAGTCTTGTGGAGGTAAAAGGGCTTGAACGGAAGACGTTTATTTCCACCATGCAATGGACTAGTCTGTGTTCTCTCTTGACTTAAAATATGGTGTCCACAAGATTTATGGATACAGAGTGAAAACATCCCACTTTCTTGTTACAGAAAGAACTCCCATCGCAGAACAGACCCAAAGAAATCTATTCCAGGCAAAAGAGGAAGAAATGGTCAAAAGGTGAGAGAGGGGCAACGGGAAACAAGCTTTTCTGTGAGTGAGGGAAGAAATGACTGATAGCACAACTCTCTGAAATCATCATGCAGGTGCTTTGCTTTGCAGTAGATAACATGCACAGTGTTACCAAATTCTAAATTTAGAAACTCTAATTCTGTCTGATGGTATCTCACATACACATAAATAAATGCTCTATGCTGCACTGCGGGTTCTCATTCACAATGCAGTGTTTTCTGGCTATGCCATGTGAAATAGCAATGACTCAATTAGAAGGACAATTGTATATTCTGGTCAAGCAGAAAAGTATTGCATGTCTTCTTGAAGGCTCAGCAGATTACATGTAAGCACCCAGTGAAAGACTGCCGTAAATCAACTTCAGTCTATTAGCTGGGCAAAGGAATACAATCATTCTTGAAAGGAAACATAAACAAGAGTGCCACTAGAGTGCTTGGTTTTTGATATCTAATCTGCTACTGTGCCTTCTCTTGATGTATTCAAAAAGTAATTACTTTGACATGGTTTTGAACATTCACACTACTGCCTGTAGACTTCGGGCATCCAGTGGTTTGTCCTGTTTCTTCAGCATACCATGCATTCTGGCATATGAGCAGATGTAAGACACGAGGAATAGTAAATCACTCACAGTACATACAGTCTCTTTATATTCCAGGTAAATTTCAATTTTAGCACAGGCTCATGAATGTGAGGGAAATCACATATAGATTAAGGACCAATTAATTGTAGTCCAAATATACTCAGGCTGATTGCACACATCTTTTGGGTTCTAATTTCTATCCTCATTCAGTGGATGTTAATATAGTATTATTATTTTTAATTCTACATTTTGGGACTGAGAATAAATCAGATAGCATAGGGCTATGCCTTTGAAGAAGATAAAAAGACAGAGGTGACAACTTTCTGAGAACACTATTCAGCTGTAAAAGGAATCAAAACAGTCCAAAAACAATGCCTTTAGAGATGCTCAGCTCCCTAAAACACATTTTAAATAAATTCAGCCTTATTCTAACTGACTGACACCAAGGACAATTTTAACATGAATTTCAACAGTAAAGAGCTATATCAGTATGTAAATGTTTTTGGAAAGTCAATTTTATATTTACACGCTGAAGATTCTTTTCCTGTCTTTCGTCAAATGGTGGTTTTTACAGAATATTTATGAAAGTAGCTTTCTAAAAACATGCTAACCATTGTCAGGAATTAATGGCTAGCTTGAGAAAATGTGACACTGAGATAAAGAATTTGAAGTGATATTTGATTTAAAAAAAATTATTCTAGTGTTTTATATTTTATACCTGTGACATGCTTTGATGATGCCGATTTTTATGATGAAGATTTAATAATAATAATAAAATAAATAAATTAGGCACCAGTTCAGTATGAATTAATCTCTAGGAGCATCTCCTACCCTCCCCAATGAATTGAAATTGAAATGCTTTACTGCTGTAACTTGAGATACCCAGGATCAGATAAAGACCTTAAACTCTTGCCGCCTTCTATTTGTGCATATTGTTTTACATTTCAAGTAGGCTTTCTTAAAAGACATTACAAGATATATATGCTTATATGCATAGAGATAAAGTGAAATACTTGTTCATACCTTCAAAGTAACCACCATTTATAGGCTGTGTCTTCCTTGGTGGTTTCACATGGAGATGTTTATTTTCATTGTTTTTGAACAACGCCAGGCGCACAGCTGGGTCTAGATGACAAGAACAAGTTAAAATCAGAGGTCAGACCTGGCTCGTTCATTCCTTCAAGCAGTTTTTCACCTTTTAGCCACTTAATAAATGAAAATACCTCTACAAGTAGGTTTTATATTCACAAAAGATTACACTTTCTAAAATAAAGCAACATAAATACATGCGCAACTGAGAATCAAAGTCATTATTCTGTTGATCTTTTAGCTAGCTCATTTCCAAATTGAAAATAAACTCTAAAGAACATATTAGAAGAAAATATTAAAAAAATCTGTTTGTAAAGCTTGAAATTAAAGCAGTAATATTAAGAGAATATACATGAAGCAGTGTTCCTAAAAGCTTTGGTTCAGAATTATTCAGCAGTCTAAATCAAACTATTTACACCTAAAAAATGTTAACAGGAAGCAGTTTATTTTATTGAGGCTAAACTTGCATATTTTAGGCTAAGCTTCTTCCATGTCCCATCCTTACTGAAATTAAAAAATACTCCAAAAGTCTACAGACTCAGCTACATGCCACAGTGTGAAAACTTGATTGGTTTCCTGTCATTTTGAAAACAAGCAATGATGAGCAGAGAATTGCATATAGATCTAGATAATTCATGCTCCTAAACTGGAAAAAAACATAAAGTTTAATTAACAAAAGCTAAACTAATGCAAACCCACATAGGTCAGGAAAGATGATTTTCGTGCATTATTTCCTATGTGAAGGAAGACTTGTTTGCCTGATATGGAACGAAAGTAGGAGTTTAAGGGAAACAGTAGGTTAGAAAGAATGTGAAAATTTTATGCATAGTGCAGAATAAACTATCCAGTTATTAAAAAAAAAGAAGAAAAAAAGGAAACAAAAAAACAGAAAAAAAAGAAAAGAAAAAATAAAAGAGAAAAAAGAAGTGACAAGAATATAGAAAAAAAAGCATATATATAGCGATGAACATAAGTATATAGGGTTTTGTAGGTATGGCACTGAGCATGAGAACATGAATAACAGAAAGCCAGAGGAAAAAAACAAATGCGTTTCATCTGATTAAAAGAAGGCAATAGCACAAGCAGGAACATATACTCTCATGAAGATCTGAGCAACAATGAGGCAGAAGAAGCCAATATACAAAGGTAACTACAAACTGTCAGAAAAGGGCAGAAATTAATAAAGAAGGAAAGTAGCAACAGAATTTAGGTAAAAGGTATATATGGCAAGGAAAGGATCTAAACTTTCACAAAGAATACAAATGTAGCAAAAATGAAAATGTGAGACACTGTTAGAACAGATAGAGCAGGAAAACGGAGGAGATGCACAGGCTAAGAGAGCATCTAGAGAGAATAAATTTGCAGCTATTTGTATCTGATGCTTCATTTGGAGATTGTTACAGGATCTTGGTTTTTACTGAGAGAGTTTATAAGGGCATCTCTAATACTGCAACAAAGTAAGTAGCTTTTCTGGTCTGTTTCCTCATTTATGGAAACAGAGGATCAAAATGCCCTATTAAGACAGTGGGCAATCTCTTATGAAATTTAACAGCAGTATAAAGCAATATAAAGTTGGTTTTGACTAGACCTCTGTATTAGCTGTAGGCATTTTAGTTACAAACAAATAGAACATAAAAGAGATCCTAAGAGCTCTACTTTTTCTCAAAGAACACTTTCTTGACACAAGCAAGACAATGCAGACATACTGTATCTTCACCTTTAAAGCCCGTAGAAGATCTCTAATGGCATGTGGGTGCTTTAAGAGATAACACATTGACAAAACATGTCAAAACGTTACGGTACTCTTGGTCAGCCCACACTGCAGCAGCATTTGGTTGACAGAATGTTCTTAATGGTGCTAACTTCTCAAAAAGCAGCAAACGATTAACAAAGGAATTGTGGAAAATATGGACAGAAGTAATTTAGGCCATGCTTTCTTCCCAAGGCAGAATCAGTGATACCACACACTTTATTATCTCAAATTGTCTAGAAGAACCTCTCTCATCCTTTTGTATGATGACTATCGCTTCCAGATTTACCTAGAGGATGTCGCATTTAAAGTAATTTTAACCCACTTTTACTAACCAAAGTATATATTCAATGAAATGACTAAAGCAGCTCATTAAGTAATGACTAGCTCCATTAGTTTTAAAGGCAGATTATTACAATGACTTTGAAAATGTAATCACTTTATTCACAAACTGGATTGCAAGGTTTGTGGATACTTTCACTTTGCATAAACGGGTAAAGTATTCCTATTTTGGCATGACTCCCAATTCAAAAATAAATTTGTAAAAACCCAGCATTCTTCAGGGTGGCAAATGTTTGGAGCAGTAGATTGCAGTAAGATTTGTGATTAAAAAAATCTTGAATTAGTAATACATTTTAAGAATTCTCTCTGAAATTTTAAGTAATAGAAGTTAGAAAAAAAGTTTTAAGTAAAGCATAAATTATTATTTTGTTTTCTACAGTTTTAACATACATAATCATACAAGTACTATACATTGCTAAAAATGTACAGAATAAATTTTTTTATAATTACAATTTTTCCAACATCCAGCATACAGTGTTAATATTACAGTGTTGATGAAAAGACTTCTTTTTCCAGATTTATACTAGTTACAAAATCAGTGTCTTTCTTCAATAGAAGACCAAAGGCAAAGTGATAAAAATTGATTAAAATCCCTTAAGACAAAATGTGATTGAGGATTTCCGAACTATTTTTGAGTAACTTAAAATAACTTCTGAATAACACACTTTTTTCCTGTGTAGGTCTATTGAAATTGTTCCAAAGTGTTTTAAAAATGTCATCTTTCCCTAATCCAGCCTTCCACACAATTCTATGAAACCTCCCATCAATGCAAAGTATGACTATACCAAAGACTTCTAAATAAAGTCATATGAAGTGATTAGTGTCAACCTAGACATTTACGTGTGCACAAGTATATCAGCATTAGGGAAGGTCCATGAACTGGGAAAAGAGGGAAATGATGGAAATTGTTCTAAAAGATTTCTATCAGAAGATTTACATCTGAGTCTTTGCAAAATAACTTAAATAATCTAACAGGATTTAACACAGTGCCAGACTACTTGAATTTGTACCTACCTGGATCACCTCAATCATTGCCTACAGCTCTTTTGTTATTAAAAATTAGTCCTTTTCTTTAGGTAGTCCCAAATGTAGGCAATATTACACAGATTACTTTATAATACTAGTGCTTTTCAGTCTCTGAGTGAGCTAGGGAAATGAACTGCACGTATGCTTTGATGACAAGCAATCAAATGTTTTAGATTTTACACAGAGAGCTGTGAAAGAGTCTAATAGTCCCAAATCATACAAATATCTTCCTGGATTCTGGCATATTCATTTAAATGTGGCTTATTAGATGATGATCTGTGCTGGCAATCTAGGAACCAGAGAGGTAATTTAATGCACATTGCTTGGCAGACTCCAAATATAGAAGATAAGTTGGACGAACACAAGCAATGTTATAGAAACAATATGGAGGGAATAGTTACTGCCTGATCTGGCACCACATTTGCTAAACAACCTCTTGACAATATGTGAAACTGAAAAAACTAAATGTTTGTCATTAATTTTTTTTGTGCAATATCTGTAATTAGAAAAAAATAAACATATCTGTGCCAACTTTAAAGACCTGATAAATCAAAGTAGCACACAGTGACAGATGCTTATCTATAAGATAATTCAATTTGTAAATTCGTTTTGAAGAAAGACTACATTTTGCTCCATAATTGAACAGCAATTAAAACTCGATGGCTGGAGTTTCCAGATGATACTGCTACATGGAATACACAACAACAAAAGTAGCTTGCTTTCTGCTAAGATCAATGATCATTTATGTAATGTGTAACAAGGAATAATAATATCCCCCAGATTTTTATTCTGACTGTTGTTAATTCAATAAATCAATGTTGTATAGCCAGGTCATCTGTTCTGTGGTTGTGGGTTTTGAGGGGAGTAGGTTGGGGTTTTTTTTTGTTTGTTTCTTTGTTTGTTTTAATTAGCACTGCATTGCTGTCTTGACTTAAACTAGAACTAAAAAAATATTTACTGACCTCTATGAAATATCTTTATCATTGAGCTCTGGTTCTAGGAGTCAAGGTCCACTCCAGCTGCTTTTTACTTTTTTTTCCCTACCTATGTGGCAGCAAGAATTACCATCTCATGTTGTCAGTCACTGACATGAGACTTCTCCTTCAGAGAGGAAATGGTTAAACACAAAGTAATACAACAGTGTAGGACAGACAAGCAGAAAGCAAGACAAGGTTTCCAGCCATCTTAAAAGAAAAAGAACTTAACTTTCAGAGGCTAATATAAAACCCACAGAATCAAGGAAATTCAAAGTTAAACAAGAAATTCTGTACTGCTGTGCTAAGGCATCCTTAGAAAGCTAGGATTTTTTTGAGTCACAGACAATTTTTAAGCACAGTGAGGTGCATTAATGTCTGCTGTATTTAGATTTTTAATTAGAATTTTTATAGAATTTGATGCACCCATGATAAATAGGAATATTTCTGACATTAAGCCAGTTCTACTTGGCTGCAAAATTTCTTGCCCACACTTTTTGTATTATCTTCCTGCAGAGTAAAAATAGTTGAAGCAGACACAGTCTACATTTGGTATCGTTAAAATACAGGCCACAACTTTATTTAACTACATAAACAAGCATATGTAACTATAGTGGATTAGGGAATAACAGGTTTTAAGGCCATTAATCCATGGGACTGGTCTACTGCAATATAAGCATTGCCTGAATCACTCCCTGTTATAGGTTTATGGTACTTTAAGCTCTTTGTTGTAATACAAACCACAAGATTCAACGCACTTGCTAGTATTTTCCATATTTTTTTCACTACTGAGAAGGTACGTAGCCAGACATATGAGGTAAGATACTTCTCAGTTACTTCTACATATCTACAGTTTATCTCTGTACTTCAGCCAGCCACTCTTCGTTTTGTGTCTAGGCAATGGAGAACTATAAGTGCTTTTACAGTGAGATTCAAGGAGATTGTTTTTGAATTACATTTTAGGAGGAAATTAATAGCATTTAAGGTGGCTATTTCTTTCCATAAAAGAATTCAGATGACTAGCTCAGATGTGGATTTCTATAATTAACCAAATGAAGCCCGTCACTGTTGCACTGGGAGAAGACAAATGTTTCAGATTGAAAATGAAAAGGAATAAATTCCCACACCTGAGAATGTCAAGAATCGAAGCTGCTCTGACTGTCCAATCCAAGTTCCAAACCAGCAGGTGTCTTGGCTATATGCTAAAGAGCAACTGTTAGACTTTCTGAATGGAAGCTGATTTAACATTTTGCATTTGTGAAACTCAGGCCTAAGGCAAAGGGGTTTGACAGCATAGAGAAGCAGACAGCATACTCTGATAGGCTATTTGTTCCTACAAAATCTACCCATATCTTAGCATTATCTGCAATTAATAAGATCATTGCCATGGAATAGGCGATAAAAGACTTTTTATATGATGCCGAAATCTTAGCACAAAAGCTATCAGTTTATTTGTTAACAGTTTATAATTTATTTGCATCTAGAACCTTTAGATGTTGTTGCTGCCTTGCTTTAAAATTTTGCTTTTAAGTCAGACATGTAGCAGTCAATGTCTATTACATGGATAATTGCTTTTTTACACCATGTAATTCATACTTTCAAGCGGATGATTGCTACTTATTTTCTAGTGGGTAGGAGTCATTATCACCAACAAAATTATTTTATTGTAGTTAGTGTGCCTTCAACAATTTTAAAGCAGAAAGCTAAAAAGAAATCAGTTGCAGCTAGAACACTGACAATCTGGAAAATCAAAAGAAAGAACAGAAATAATAATACTAAAAATAAATCCTACAATGTTTCATATGCAGCTAAAGTACGTACAAGACAGATGAATCTCATTTCAGAGGAGACGAAGTTGGTAGGAAGCTAATTTCCATGAAACACTAAAGACAATGTTGACATCTCCTTATTCAGATGAATTTCATTCTGACTTTAAATATCAGAAAAAATAAAATTTCTTATGGAATTCCTTCTTCAGTAGGGTTAAACTCATACCAATGGCCTAACTCTCTCTCTTGTTATAATGGAATTGCTCTAAGTATTCTAGCATGCGCTGCACCACACAGAGATCCAAGAAAGATACTGGCAGCCTAATGGATCTGGTTACAGTTTCCTGACCTGGAGCTGGCTAGCCTCAGGATAGGGTATATACACTCCAATTAAAATGCTGTGAAGTCCCTCTGTTCAACCAGACCCTCAACAAGACCCTGACTCCCTCTCACCACTTCAGAAGAAGGAGCTGATATAAAACATAATTACATACACGGAGAGTCTTCTCGCAAGGGGAAGATTCCATCAGGATATTTTTTTAGGGCAACAGCTGAGTTTTAGCATCAGTTTAAGATAAAAATACTTGCTTTAAGTGATAATGTCTATTTGGTCCTTACTGACCAAGGAAGGACTGCCTATCAGTGCGTTGTATGAGAAAGAAGAGTTGGCTTGAAAATCTCTGTACTGAAAAAGGATTGAGTGTGCAATATTTTCAGTCATATTTCTTGGTTCTGGAAATTACACTTTCTGGTCCTCTGGAAAAAATATTGTGGTTTTAATGACTGTCAGAGAACTCTAGACAGGAAAATTACGTAGTTATTTTTGTGCTGGATTTAACATTCAGAAAGACAAAAAATTCCTGTAGGAGGCAGTGTCAAGAAGAGAAAATTTGAACCTATAAAAACAGTGTGCAAAAGTTTTGTTAGTTTTTTTAATACTAATACTTTGAGAATATTCCAAGTGATACATTAAAAAGCTCAACACACACATACCGTATTGAATAATCCGAACAAAGTGAACATAAACATAACCAAAAAATCCATTAGAACTACAACAAAAATAGGATAGCAATTTTGATATGCTCAATCAGACATTTATGACTGGATTAATTACTACTAACATAAACCAGAGAGCATATGGAGAAAAGATGATATAACTAACCTAACAAGCTGTATTCATTAAAAAAATGATGCAGAGGCCACCAAGTGGAACACATGTAAAAAGCTCAGCTGCACACCAGATATTTACTACTTTTCCATTTTTTTTTTAGGTAACATGGTAGGCCATCATGGGAAGCTATTGAGATTTAAATATCATAATTTTAATGTCTTATCCATTTTTTCTCCTTTCCATAACAGTAAAGCATGGTTTGCTGATTACACATCTCTTTCTTACCCACTTTTTTTGTTTTTTAACTAGACACCTTTTTTGGTCACCTTTTAGTAATCTTTGGCATGATATTTAAAGTAGAAAAAATTATACAGTAAAATGTTTTTCCTAACTTTACCTGTAGGCTGATTTTTTTTCTTTCCAAGAGCAAAATGTTTTTTTGATGTCAATACTATATTTTCAATACAGAAGAGATTTGCAAAGTTATAAAACCAGGGAAATTAACTGTAGTTTGTGATACAATTTTAAAAAGTCAAATGTAAGCAAAGGTCCTATTGTCAGCCAGTAAATTAGGTCCTTTTGTCAGCCCAACACTTGCATATTTCAATGTTTCTTATACTTGCAGCATTTTATTAATATTGTTATCAATATATTCTGTTAACATTTGTGTTAACATATCATACCATTAATGAATCTAAGAAAAATTCATTGACATAAGAAGTATCTGAGAGGAACCAGATGACAATTACAGAGGAGGTGAATAAGCATTATCTGTTTCCACATTGAACATTTAATACACAAAATATTATTTTGTTTCATGTGTATAAACCTGTCATTTTCAAAAATAGTTCTTGCATAGAGCAGTAATTTTAATCTGAGATTCCCCCCAAAAGGAAAATACAAGAAGCACATAATGCGGAAAAATAAACTCCACATCTAGAAAAAGAGATATATAAACACAAAGGAGTGAAATTTCTGTTTAGCATAGCTATCAAACATTCAACTTCAAAATCCAGTGGAATGTTTTTAAAATCTGAATATTTTGCAGCTAGAACAAATTTATTTATACTGACTTGTTCTTAATGAACCACACTCCACTTTTATATAAATTAATGTTTAACATTGTTTGAGCAAACTTTTTAAAAGAGAGACATTATTTTGAGAATTAAGAAAAAAATATTACATCAATATAAAAATTTTTCATGTTGGCTTACCTAAATTTTTATTACTGTATTTTTTAGGCTTCATTTTATGGGCTCTCTTAAGCATTAGTTGTGCAGTAGAAATGTCCTTAAAACCCCTAAGGAAAGAGAATAATTTACTAAACATTTCACATAGATTATGTTACACCAGCTGCATATTATTGTATAATACACTTCTAAAAAAAAAATAGAAGTGTATACTACTTATGCATGGTATGAAACTTTCTGAGTTACACAGACAGTTGTAAATGCTAATCTTAACATTATTTTATTGCAAATTATCAAGCTCATCTCCCAGACACTTGTAAAAGTAATTACAATAATTGTTACTTTGGTAAAAAATAGAGATTCTTGAAAGGTGGAACTTAAAAAAGCAAAGAACAACATCCAACTACACTATACCTATTCCTGAAAGTTGCTATATAAGCAAAATAGATTAACATACCATTCCTCTGAAATTTTCTGTTCTTTTTCAGACATGAATGAAAAATTCTTTTTTTCCTGCCAGTCAGAGACCTGTGACACTGTTCCCCTCCCTGACCTGAAAACAAAGTATAAGAGCAGTACTGAAAGGTAGGTAAATAAGGGTCTTGGGTGACTATTTTGCAGCCTTCGTCATCCTGCAAGTTTGTTTGTGCCTTTTAAATGCACTTTCGAAGCTTGGAAATAATACAAAAAAAATCTATTTTAATACTCCAGGAAGGCTTTATCTTGGAGAGTAATAAAAGTCTGCCATCAATTTGAAATGTTTACATTTCAATTACTTGAAGCATATTTCAGTCCTTTCTCTCCAAAAGAATGCAGCTGTGTAAGAAATCCCTTTTAATCTTTATCTGGTCTTACAAATCTCTGTTTCAATATCTATGTTATGATGTATGTGAAAAACTGTAAGTTTTATGATTTATAGTCAAACTTAGATAAATAAAAAACCACATATATGTTCTCTTATTCTTAATTCAGTCAATGAAAAAGAAAAACTAAATTTAATATAACTGGTTTTAGCAAGCAAATAAAACTTTAACTCCAGTAATACCAAAAGGTAGAAGACAGCCTCAAGTTCTCCTCCTTTTGATTTCTGTCAAATTCAAATGAACTAAATATAATGAAAAAATATGTTATTTAACTTACCTACTACGAATGTGGATATTTTCTGATGAGTGTGAATGTGGTCTGTTAACACACTGCCAAACTTCTTGTGGTGACAATGGCAAACTATTTGAATATTCACTGGAATCTGAAGGCCTGGAATGCTAAGTAAGAGATTTTTTTTCTTTTTTTTTAATGCAGTTGATGATTCCCACAAGTTTGAGCTTAAAACATGCAGGTAAACCTGCAGCAGGGTTTGCAGAGCCTACTACTGTAACAGAAAGGATTCTTAATGGTGATATGCCCATTATAGACTTTATCTTTGACTAACTAAATAGGGCAAAAAGGTGACTTTAGTTATACTAAACATCCCCAAATATAATGAGTTATATATTTATAAGAGTCGTTTCTTTTAATTGTAGAAAATAAAACATTAATAATACTATGCTTGTAACTAGAAGAGAAAACTCTACCAAAACAAAAAGCTACAACTTCAAAGTTTATCAAATAACTAGCATACATTACAGTTCAGTGACCCTTAGCTGTTCTGAGAACATTCAGCTGTTGTCATATAATGCAGATCTTAGTATTTTTAAAGTAGTGTGTCAACTAGCAATTTTTAATCCATTGCCAAATGTACAGATGAAGCACATCATATTTTTTTTCTGCTACTGTGAAGTAAAGTGTTGAAATAAATCCAAAATAAAGAAAAAACTAAGCAAACGAAAGAAAATCTGAAAGAAAAATTGCATCTGGACAGGAGGAGGAAGCCTGAGACTTCTAAAAGTAATTATGTTTTTCAAGTCAATAGATTGTTGTATTAATCACCCCAGAACAGCATATCCTTAAGGAACAAATAAAGACTGAAGAGTAAGAAGTTTCTGCGACATGTTACCTTTGGCCAATGCAGCTGGTTTGAGAGCAGGAGTGTTTTTGAAGGGAAACGGGTGGAATCCAGGGTTAGCCATTCCTTCCCTAATGCAGCCTGCATGAATGAGTAAAGTCAAACAGTGCACTGATAAAATCAGTTTAGTTTTGATAACTTTTGCAAAGTCCCTTTTAAATTGCCTTACATACTGCTTCAAGTGTTTTCAGGTAGTATATTGGAACTGCCACCTGCAGAGCTATCATACTTAAAACACCTTTGGAGATCCGATCCTGTGTTGCAATGTTTTATTTTAAAGAAACCAGATTAACAGTATTTGTGAGTTGTGGATTTTTTGTGTGTTTTTGGTTTTGCTTTTAAACAAGATGCATCCTCTCCTTCTCAAATTTCTGTAATTTCATCCCAACATTGTTAGTAAATCCTATTTATTAAAAAAGAATTGCCAAACTCTGAAAAGGTAAAGACTTAAGGTACTTAAAGGCCTAAAGAAAATTTCTAATGTAATGGAAGAATCTTCAAATTAAAATAATAGCTTGGAATGAAGAGGGCTGACGGGCGCTAAACACTGTGTCTAGCACTTCAAGGCAGAATTCAGTTTTCTTTCATAAAAACAAAATTTAGATTTTGTTTCAAACTCAATCTGTATATGACTTATTTTTCTTATATATCCTTGAGATTTTTGACTACATATTCTTTCAACATCTTCTGATAAGTGAGAGAAGTAAATTACTCCCACACAGTAAGTAAATACCTCTGAGGAATTTGGCTTCACTTACACAGGGCTCAGTCATTCAGGCTGTTCTTAGCAGCAAAGAGCCTGGAGTTCCCTTGTTTTAAAAAAATGTTTAATTTATAAAACTGGACTACCTTTCTGCGATTCATAGAATATTTCAGGTTGTATGGATTCATGACCCTGAGAAATTATCTTAACTTTGGATACCTTACTGGGTAGTTTGCATAAAAAGGACTTTGCACAGTCTTAGATTGGTTAATAAGAAGGTCTATCAAGCCCTTTGAAATTCTGAGAGAAAGAAGGATCATATTCGAGCTATTTTGAAAAGGGTACTTCAGGTACTAATCACATAGTTTGGTAACTTTAAGACCACTCTTTTTATTTTTAATGTAACTGAACCAGAATTATGTTTCTTCAATTCTTATGTAGATTTTTAAAATAAATAATCAATAAATTTTAACTTGGATGCACTCTTACATCCTTGATTCCCTGTTTCTAGAATTCCCTATTCTTTGATTACAGTATGCTTTGATTTTTATTCTTTTATTTAATAAATCTGGATAAATTCTATGCCTTCATTACTACCAGACAATGTCTCTCTACCATTCTTCCCCTTCTTATCATTTCAATTCATGATATATACATAATGTTATCCTTTTTACTACACCTCCTCTCTCAGGTGGTTGCATGTTAAGAATGCCATGTAAATAAACTGTAGAGACATGCAACAAATAAGAGGCATTCTTTTACCGTTACATTTACCTACAACTCGCTAACCTATCTCTCCTCAGTGACTACTCTTATGCTGACAACCACTGAGTGGTTGATTTAAACAATTTCCATTTAAAAAAAACCCTAACTCGCAGTTGAAATCGATTTCAGAAGTAAAGTGTAGTAAATCAAATCCCAAGGATGAACACTAAAGATATGAAATTTCAAATTGGTACAATTCACAGAAGACTGACAAGCTGATTTCTCAGTAGAGACAAAACTATGACAGATTCAAGTTTTGCAGTTTCCCAGGGTCTAAGGCAGAACAGTCAAAATGAATAACTATGAAAAAGGGAGAAAATCTGACCAAGAACTGTCAGTGAAATTAGATATTCCTCTTTGTCTTTCTTGAATTTACTCATCAATTCACTATGCAACTCGTATTTCTGGCTTTTCAGGTGAGAGCTTTTCATCTATTTGCTAAGTGTGTGCACGCAATCCAGTCACAGATAAACTCAAAGTCTGCAAAAGATGTGTCCTAACTTTGCTGGTACATAAAGGTATATGAAAATGGCAAATTTCTGAAGGTGATTTTCTTTTTTTTTTCTCCTCTGTGCAAAATTCTCTGCACAATTCAAATGTCAGCCAACTGAAGTGGTGTGCACAATTATGTGTCCAGTAATTACCTATGTACTTAAATGTTTTACATTAGCAGTGAATATGATCCAAGGTCTACTGTAAGATTTCAGGACAAGCACACACCCTAGCTATTTGAATTTATACCTCTCTGATGAAATCGTATGCGACAGAAATCAATAAAATCAAACATGAAAACTAACACTCCAAAGCTGTAGTCAATTTTTTGGAACAAGAATCACTTAAGCAGTACACTGATTAAATCCTTTTGTTTATAACAAAATCCAATTCAAGTTCTTTGCTCTTAATATTTAGGTTGAAACATTTCTCGTAAATATTTTCTTAGTCCAGTGTTTGCCGTTTATTAATTTAATATTCTCCATGGTGTTTTTATTTCTTTCATAGACTATAAAATGTCTTTCAGTGTTCTAAGTGCTGAAAAAAGAAATCAATGAAAGTATAAAAGCATGATTCCAAGTTGTAGATATGTAAGACAAAAAATCCCACATAATCATTAAGCACATTTGGCAGTCCTATGAGTGTGTAACATATTATAAAAATATACCACAGTTTAATTTGCTTTGGCCAACAAAAACAAACACGTAATTGATTTTCAAATACATGCTCTTCCACTGTGGTTATCCCTAGAGATTTTGACAGCACTAAGTTCAAGAAACTTCTGTTCATGTCTTTCCCATAAACACAATCCTAAATTATAACTAATGCTAAGTTTATGAAAGATTTTCCAATATCTAAGGGTGAAAACTAGATCCATGTCTGCTGACATTGTCCAGTAAGAGAAAAAAAAAAGACCTGAGATTAATTACAAAGCAAATAAAATGATAAAATTTGATTGTATGGTCTACACAAAGAGTTATAAGCACACTAATGTTTTTTCTAAAGTCAATTTAAGGAATTGATTTCATAAATACTGAAGTATATAATGTAGCTTTACTCATATGTATAAACCACAACTGATTCAATGCACATTAGTGCATGTGAAGATATCTTCATAGGATACAGTCCTTCAACTCTATTTCACGTGTTTTTGTTTCAAATCAAAGATTGTATTGATTCCTTCAAAAAAGTTTCAATTTACACAAGCACAGAAAACATATATAGACATTTCTATTTTTTTATTAAAACTTCACAGATATAAACTGACTTCAACTTACTGTTTGAAACACAATTTTAATACCTGGTAAATTTTTAAAGGGTTTCTTTTTTTTGTTTCTATCTTGCTAGACTTTATGTTAATTTCCATTTAGGTTCTGCTCAGGATATGAGCAATATACTTCTAAGACTAGAAAGAACACAGACCACCAATTCACTGTAAAACACAATACAATTGTCCCTGATACCATTGCTCAACAAAAGGAAGGAGTGAATATTTGATTGGAGGAGGTTCCTTCTGAATTTTAATAATAAAACTTCCATACTATTAGCTACTCCCATTTATCCATTAAGATCAAGAATTTTTCATCCTGATTCAGTATGCATTTTTTACCCCTCGAGAGTCTAATCCCACAGTATTTTTTCTCCCCTTTGATTCTGTAGCTCATCAATGAACTCCAGAGGCTTAGGGATTTTTTTCTTTTTCATGGCATATTATATATAACCTTTTTTATTTTGTTATTTCTTCATTTTTCAAACATTTATTCTATCCCTTCCTCTGCAAAATGTAATGACTACTTACCACCAAACATTATAATTCTGTGGTCTCAGAACCAGAATCCAATCCTACAACCACCTGTCAGTCAGAATGGTTCTAACTTCAATGGGAACTGGGTGAACTACTGAAAAGCAGAGTTCTAGGGGAAACATTTATACAATCTAATTCTAGGCATCTTTTATCTGCTCTGGATTACATTCTGGAGCTAAATAATCTTCTGTAATAACTATACGTGAAGTTTGGGCTGTTCTGAGTCATACTTAAACCATGAGCAAAAAACAGCTCACAGGACACAGTGTCAAACTTCCACTCAGCTTTGAAGCACTTCCTCAAGTTATTGTCCCAACTGTGAATAATGCTATTGCATATTGCCTTTCATCTCTCTCAGATCAAGAAGAGTATAATAAAACCCAAACCAATCCCCCAAACTGTACTACGGTTAGAAGCAGAGGATGTAAGAAATCAACAATACAGGCTGAAAAGAAAGGCCAGCATTTGATACGTAACAACTCGGACCAACTATCTATGCACATCAGTACTCTGCCTCCAGAAAAGTTCAGCAGCAGATGCTTATGGAAAGAATGAAAGAAGCTGGATGTGTTGAGGACAATCCTTCCCCTGGTCTTTTTCAGTCTCTTTCAGACTTTGGAAATTGGTGGTTTAAAGACTTTTTGCTAATATCCAGGACCTAAACTAGTAATCTAACTTCTTACGACAAGTACAACGATCAGCAAACCATTTATATTGCTCAGAGCATGTAACTGCTGAAGTGGTGTGAATTGACTCCAAAAGGTCAACATCCTGGCTGCCATGGGAGTAGAAGCTACCCCAGGTTTCCAAACATGCTAGGCCTCGGAATCACAAGATGAATAACCACCTGATAAAACAGTGAAACAGTTTTCGTGAAAATTAGGGAGAATTAACTGTTTAAATCTCTTTCCTTTCTTCATCTCCTTGTTGATTCATTCACTGTCTGCAGGACAGCAACGGTTTAGCCAGAAAAGATTGGGGTCTTTTATATTTATGTATTTACATATTATTTATATACTTACATATTTATATATTATGCTTTCATTTATATGGTATCCTATGAGGAAAACACGAAAATTACCCAAGAGAATATAGACAAGCAGAACAATATTAATATCCAAAACTCATTTGGAACTCAGTCATGACTGGCTCCAGAGCATTTCTACAGAAGAAGAGGAATGGGAGAGTTGAATAGTGTCATTGAAAGTCTAGTTGACTCCAAGAAAATCAAACAAAATGTTAAAGCAAGAAAACCAGTGAAAGACAGTACTTCAATCCAAGGCAGAACGCTCAGCAGCATTCTACAACTATTTCAAA